ATTTTTGCATCAATGTTCATTAAAGAAATTGGCCTACAGTTCTCTTTTTTGTTTGGGTTCTTTCCTGGTTTGGGGATCAGGGTAATGCTAGCTTCCAGGAATGACTTTGGGAGTATTGGCTGCTTTTCGATTTCACTAAAGTGAGGATGGTAGGTGTTACATCTTCTCTAAAGACTTTACACAGTTACAAGAATCAATTGCAGTGAATCCATCAGGACCTGGGTTTTTCTTAGTTGGTAGGTTTTTTTTTAAATTACTTCTTCAATTTTACATTGAGTCATAATGGATTATTTGGGATTTTTTTTTTGTTTCAGCTTTGGTAGTTCATATGTATGTAGGAGTCTATCCATGTCTTCTGAATTTTCCATTTTATTAGAGTACAGTAAAATCTAGGTTTGTGGTAATAACTCATTCCACTCATAATCCAAGGCACACAAGCAACTCACTTTTGCCTTCGCCCTACTTGTCCAGAGTAGCTGTCTCATCTCTCTCTTCCTTCTTCTCCACCTTCAGATAAATTGTCTTTTATTTAAATAACAGTAATACAGAGCGCTTGTACATCAAAGCAGAGAGAGAAAACCAGTTGTGATCATGTGGCATTCAGTGTGATGTACTACTCATATTGCAAAACACTGCTCATTTATCAAATTAAAATTTCTTGGAGATGTTTGTTCACCTTGCAGAGCACTCAAAGTCCAAGTTACAAGTGAAGGTTTGACTGTACAGGTTTTCAAAGTAATTACCAGTGATCTTCTGGATTTTAGCAGCATCTGTTGTGATTTTGCATGTTTTATTTCTAATTGCATGGATTTGCATCTTTTCCTTCCTTATTTTAGTAAGATTGGCTAAGGGTTTGTCTATTTTATTCCTTCAAAGGACTCACTCTTTCTTAATTCTTTCTTTTAATCTTTTTAAATTAATTTCTCCTCTGATCTTTATAATTGCTTATACAAATTTTAGATTTGAAGTGTTCTTCTTGTTCTAGGTGCATTCTTAGGTTCTTCACTTAAGCTTACTCTTTTTCTAATATGGTCATTCATTGCTATAAAGTTCCCTCTTAGGACTGCCTTCATTTTGTATCATAAATTCCAATGTCTTACTGGCACTATCATTTGATTGTAAGAACTGTCTAATTTCTTATTTAATTTCATCTGTGACCCATTAATTATTCAAGAGGGTGTTATGTAATTTTGAATTATCTGCATAATTTCTGTAGTTTCCTTTGACATTAATTTCTGGCCTTATTACATGATGATATAATAACATGCATGGGATAATTCTGATTCTTTTATATTTACTTAAGTATGCTTTATGAGCTACTATGTGGTTTGTTTTAGAAAAAGTACCATGTACTGCTCAGAATGTATATTCTGCTGTTTGGTGGAACATTCTAGATATCTATTAAATCCATTTGTTGAGAGATTTGGTTCAATTCTGATATTTCTTTATATAGTTGATCTATTTGTAATATTGAGGTATTGAGGCCCCTCATTACAATTGAACTGGTATTCTTTGGTTTTTCATGTCCATTAGTGTTTGTTATAGTTGGATGTGGCAGTACTTGGTGCATATATATTTATAATTGTTGTCTCTTCCCATTGAATTTTTCCCTTAACCAATATGTAAGCTGGGCGTGGTGGCCCATGCCTGTAATCCCAGCACTCAGGAGGCTGAGGCAGGAGGATTGTTGCAAGTTCGAGACCAGCCTGGGATAGAAAGTGAGCTCAAGGCCAGCCTGAACTGCATAGCGAGACCCTGTCTAAAAAAAAAAAACCACAAACCAAAAGCACCAATATGTAGTGTCATTCTTTGTCTCTTCAGATCAATTTTGGCTTGAAATTCAGTTTGTCTGAAATTAAGATAGCTACTCCTGCTTTTTTCTGGGTTCCTGTTGCATGGAACATTATTTTCCATCCTTTGATTTTAATCTGTGAATTTTTTTGAAGTTTTTCTTGAAATAAATGATTTTCTTGTATACTACATATCATTGGAGTTTGTTTCTTAATCTATTCTGCCAATCTGTATCTTTTCACTGGGGAATTGACACTGAGAGTTATCACTGAAAGATATTGAGTGATATCTATCATTGCATTATTTTCCTATTGCTGATTTCCTTATTTTTGTTTTCCTTTTGCTTAACTATTTATCCTGCTAGGTATATATATTACTTTAGACTTATTGGCATTGTTGGCTTCATTATCTCTATGATGTCTTTGAGAATTTTCTGTAATGCTGGCTTGGTGATTTTCTTAGTTACTTGCTCAATGCTGAGACACAATACCAAACACCCACAAGTTAAAAGAGGAAAGATTTATTTCAGCTCATAGTTTGTAGAGGTTTCAATCTCCAGTCGTTTGGCTCCAAGCCAGGGTGGGATGGCAGAGGGGCATCACAGAGAAGAAACAGCTCATGACATGGCAGGTAGAAGACAGGAGCAGCAAGCTGCTTTCCCCTTCTATCCCAAACAGGTTACAAACATTTTGGGTGGTGCCACCCACACCCAGGGTGATGCTTCTTCCTTCAGTGAATTCATTCAGCTACACCCAGAACTATGCTGATTCCAATCAATATCACATACCCTAGATTCAGTCCGCTTTTTAAATTCCCAGTGTGCATGAGGCTTTGGGGGGACATCTGCATACAAGCCATAACATTCTACCCCTGGGGGTCCCAAAGATTCATGCACATCATTTTATGCAAAAGACTTTTAGTCCATTTCTAAGAGTTGTTAAAGTCCTAGCAGTTTCAGCATTGCTGAAAAGTCCAAATCCAAAGTCTCCTCTGAGATTTAAGGCAAATTCTTACAAATGAAAAAAAAGTTCAACACTTCCAGCATACAATCAATGGCACAAGATAAATATTACCATTCCAAAAGGTACAAACAGGGTGACAAATGGAATAGGAACAAAAGAAGTCCAAAATCCAGCAGAGCAAACATTAAGTCCTGTGTTTCTATGTGCAGTATCTGAGGCAATATTATACAAGATGTGAATTCCATAGGGCTTGGGTGGCTCCACCCCTATGGCACTTGTGGCGGTTGTAGCTCCAACAGCTTTTCTCTTGGGCCACCTCTGTTTCCTTCTTGCAGTTTTCCTCAGTCAATCCACATTCCTGACTTCTCCAATCTTCTGTGGTCTCCACTACATCTTTGGCTTCACACTCACAGCTTCACAGACTGTCCTCTCAGGGACATACTGCCTGGCCTCCTATGCCTTCTGATATCTGGGTAGAAGAATTCCTGACCCCACAAACCTTCCATTCTGCATGCACCACATGACTTAGGGGATGACACCAAGATCTGCTGCCACCTGGAGGAGTAGCCAGGCTTCCCTCTGTCTTGGTTGTAGGGGTTGAGTGCCTGGATTGCTGAATGCTATGAACCCAATCCCAAGGAACAAATCCCTTAAGTTGCTGTCATTCTGGAACATAGTACTCTGGGGCTTTCTTCTCAAAGCAAAGTCTTTCACCTTTACAATTTTGGGACTGCAAAGGATACAGTGCTGGTTGTTCTTGTCATGTCCTCAGGCCATCTTTTCTATTTTCTTCCTTTTCAGCAAACCAAGTTCTCCTCTGCTCCATGTTTATAGATCATAACATTACTGGAGCTTCCTTTCTGGCCAACCACAAAATGTTTAAAATCATTCTGCTGTGCTCTTTGATCTTGATTCTCAACATAGACCTAGCTAAAAGCCCCCCAACAGTAGCCATGTGATGGCCTCAACATTAGATTGCCTTGAAATTTCTTCCACCAGATTAATTAATCCAAGCTCTTAATCTTAGTCTCAGGCAAAGTCCCTGGACAACAGCAAAATGCAGACAAAACTTTCCATCAAACCAAAATATAGATGGTCTGGTGTCCAATAGCCAATGCAGCGTTTGTTCCTAACTGAAATCTGCTGAACATGTTTACCAGCATTCTGGTTTCCTCAGCTCTGAACTGAATCTTCCACCAAGTTCACCTTACAGCATCCCAGGACTGCTGCTTCTGCCAGTATCTCCAAACCTTTCCAAATTCTTCT